GCTCAGTTCCTTGAATTTGATTATAGAAAGATCAGTCCCAAATTCGGCCAAAGGATTCGTAGATAGAAAAAAGAGATGGTTTTCTTTTGAAAATAAATTATTTCAATAATACACTTTTATTTTTATATTTCTTTTAATCGTTTTTTATTTAGCACAGCGTACTAAGTAAAAATTTGATGACGAGTTTTATAACGTTTCGGATTTCTGTGATTTTGATCAAAGCAGACATTATATATGATTAAAAAGTATGTCGACGTTGTACGTTTTCTTTGTTAAAAAATACGATTAAAAATGTTTGCAAGTTTATCTTTACGTAAGAGCCTTATACATTGAGCACGTGCCAAGTGGATTTTTATCCACACTGAGAACGAAAAATATTTTAATCCAAAAAAATGTTTATTAGGTGGCTCCTACGAGCATATTTACTTACTTTTTACACATGTTTCGTTGGACGTGGATATTTTTATTTAATTGAAATAAGAATATTTAGTTCTAGATAAGTGTGTGTGAAAGGTAAGTGGATGTGCTCGTGGAAGCCACCTACGAGGTGTTTTTTTGGATTAAAATATTTTCTTTCTCAGTGCACTTTATACGTAATTTCAAGTTGATACGAAATGCCGAAATTAAAAAACGCAAACATACCGGTATACTAAATAGGATAAGTTTCAAAAAATTAAACTTGCGTGCTTTTTTATCACGCGGAGTTGTGTGTAAAATTAAACACCCCGCGACATCAGTTGGATACGTATACTTAATCGTTTATACATATATACGCGTCTATATGTAACCTGTGAAAGCATTCGTACGGCGCGATAAAAGGAGTCAACTACGTACCTTTCTTTAACAAAAGTATCACTTTGCATCACACGGCACTGCTGAAAGGTGCGTCTCGATAAAAAGATGAAACAGAATCACAGGTGCACGTGGTATCGAAACGTTGTTGCGCGATCGAGCAGTTTAACGTGGCAGAGAAAGCGAAAGACTGAGACTTTAAGCATTATGTTGGTCATCATATAAACCGTGAAGACTTACCACTACCTTACAATCACTACACTCTACAACCTATCCCGTATCCTTATTTCACAAAGTGTGCGCGTGATCTTAAACTTGGGTATTAAATTAAGAGTAAGATTGATCTTAAACTTGGGTATTAAAACTAAGAGTAAGATTAGTAATAAAAGTGCGACATTTGTCCTAAGACAGAATACAGAAAAAAACTCGGATAAAAAGGTGTCAAATTTTAAATTTTATGAAATATATTGATATGTGTTACAAATGTATTTACAACAACGTAGACGCACGTAAACTAACAATTAAATTCATATGCTTGAATATATGTAATACATATAATATTATATTTATATTAATATTTGAAAGAATGTATATATACAGCTATATACAGGGCTGCATATTCAAAAATTTTTTAAGCATTATTGTTTATATGTAGATTATCTATCTTTATATATAGACGCGTGCTTACTTACGCATGTACACGGATGAAGAAAGTTTTACTTTCGCCAAATGATTTTGAAATCTTTTCGTTACATCTTGCCTTTCCATTCCAATTCTATAAGGATTATACACGACGATGTGTATACTTATAGTATGTACATGATGTGTTTCAAAAATCTTAAGAGAGAGGAGCGGAGAAGGGCTTGTAATAAAATTTATAATATTATATTTAAAAAATTACGAATATTATAAATAGACGCGCAAACATTTTAGACTTTATTCGTGTAACGTATATTGTAAAATAGTTAGTATATTGAATCTCGTATTTTGTACGTAACCATCTTATATATACAGATGGATGTTTTTATCTTTCGAATTTATAAGATACTTTTATGAGCTCATATCTCTATATATCGTTTGTCACAACATTTTTGTCATATGTCATGATGTTACTATTATCTTCTTCCAACTCGTGGTACAAATACTTTTGCATTGAAGATATTATAGTATTTTTTCGCAAGATAAAGAGTACGAAGAGTATAATCCTATCGCCACGCATATTTCCGCAGTACATATCTGATCCGAAGAGAGAGAGAGAGAAAAGTATCGACAATGGCATTAATTCACGTATTATTAATCACGACTCGAGGCAGATTACATCTTGCAACATACCTCTATTATTAACTTGGCCAACTGCATGTCCATTTCGGAACTTTGCTATGCGTCATAACACGTCCATCAAAAATCATGGAAATGGAAATGATAAGAGATGATGTGAGAAAAGACACAATTTTTTGTAATTTCTTTTTCTTACTGGCTGTAAATCGCGCGTGACTGATATGCACTATAGATTCGGTAAACACGAGAAAAGTGCTTCGTATGCTGCATCAATTAAATAACAATAAATTAATGCGCACGTAAACGTAGACGCTGTAACTCATTGTCAGCGCGAACGCTGCGTGTGGCTCAGATTTCCGGCGCGAAGTGTGCCGTATAATCTCCTATATCAAGAATACAACAAAAAATTACTAAATAAGTTATCAAAACGTTTAAGCTATAAATTAAGATTACACGATGTAATTAATCGTGAGCTTAATAAAACATCTGGTATCTCTTAAAAACATGCTGTAAAATCAATTGAATCATTTAAGGAATAAAAAAATTTCTAGAATCTTTTACTTTTAAAAAATAAAATGTAGAAAAATTAGCTTTTACATGTATGTACGGGCGACTGTTCTTGCATCATATGCGCGTACCTATACACGAATATCGAAATATCTGCACGTGAATATCTACGAATGTAACGTTACAAGTACAAAGTTTGGTTTAAACTACAACTAAAAATTACATCTTAAGAAAAAAAGAGGAAATAATACTTGATTTACCACCAATTTTATTGCAATCTAGTGTACCAAAAACTTGTACATCTAAAATTTTTGTGGCCAAGCATTGTTTATCATATCAGCTGCCTTTTCAGCTACCATCATGATTCCAGCGATGGGATTTGAGTTTGGCACACGGGGAAAGATGGAAGCGTCGGCGACGCGGATATTCGATATACCGTGTATTCGAAGTTCCGAATCTACAACCGCGCTTGGATCGGTACTCGGTCCCAACTTGCATGTCCCAGATTGATGATTTTCCGGTCCAGTTTTCGCCCTTGCTTGACACATCCAGAAAGCGTCCGTGCCAAAGTGGTAGCTACGAAATGATAAACTAATAGAGAAAACCAATAGAGATTACGTATTATAATACAATGGAAATGGCTCTTTTCTCGAAACTTGTAGTAGTAGTATTACGCGCACGTACTTGACGCTTTTCAAACGTCAGTGTCAGTTGGCCGTAAATCGATTCAAGTACAAGTCTACAAGTTGACAAAACGTGCATGTAGAATTATTGCAGATATGCGGGTGAACGTGTCTGAATTATGAGACAGTTGTCGTACGTTTTGGAATTTTGAAAGAGAGACACTGAGACAAACAAGGGTTTTTTTCCTTCGTTTTTCTCTTTCTTCTTACTTTAATTTCAAAAAGATTTTTCTCTGTCTTGACTGTTGATTTTCAACATTTTTGCTGTTAAGGAAAAATCGAGGTTACACGACTACGCAAACTCATCTATAGGAACCAGAGATTCGGAATCGAATACCGCAAGTTGTAAGAAAACTTGTGTCCTATGCGAGTGTTATCACACCTTTAGCCGTACTTACTCCCTACACAATGGACTTGTCGTCGTTTGTTCCAAGCGAAGATCCCACTTCTTCATGGCGGGCGTGTCAACGAGCTTGCTAATCTTTTTGACACCTTCGAGCAGACGCGTCAGATCCTTTTCGTTTGTAAAGTAATTTGGATATATCAGCGGTGGATCCAAAGGATTATTTGAACCAAGTTTCAAGTCGCCTCGACTCTCCGTGTAAACCACCGTAGGTCTCGCCACGATCTCTCTTCTGTCTGGACACGCGGACTGAAGCTTATCGTTGTTGATGCACTCGTTAGGTAGACCAGTTTTCGGACAACGGGAACTGAAACCGTCGAAGAAGACTTGGATATCCGGTATGCCGTTGCGCGCGTAACTGCTCTCGAGGAAAGCAGTGACTTGAGTGATACCGGTGCTGGCTAACGGACCCGTCTTGCTCTCCAAATATTCATTCACGGCGTCCATGGTCATAATCTCGTATGGGATATCCCTGATGCTCATGGGCACCCCCACGGATACATGATTGTGCAGATTCTTACCAACCGGCAGGTCTTTGTACACTTTAATACCGTACTTGCTAAGATCCTTTTCGGGTCCCACGCCAGAATTCATCAAGATGTGCGGTGAACCGATAGCACCAGCTGTCAGAATCACCTCCTTATCGCATTTCACCATCCTCTTGTAGCCGTTTTTATCCACTAGTTCCACGCCGTAAGCTTTCTGCTCCCACGGGCTAATCAAGATCTTGGTGACTCGCGCATTTGTCAGCACTCGCAGATTTTTGCGGTCGTGAATAGGTCTCAAATATGCTCTCGAAGTCGTGAGACGCATGCCACTGTCGGTCGTCATCGGCGCAATCATGAAGCCGGTTTGGCTGTATTCCTTCAACCGAGAGGTTCTGTAACCTAGCTCACCAGCGGCTGCCAACAGTACGTCCGCAAAATCCGGCTTGTGCGGATAATACTGAATATTCATCGGGCCGCCCTGGTTCAGGGTTCTAGGCTTATCCGACAAGATTGTTGGATCGATTGGATTTTCCACCCGTTCAAAATAATGACTGATCTCGTCGTAGGACCAACCCAAGTTACCCTCCCGCGCCCAACGATTGTAGATTTCAGGGTGTCCTCGGATGTACATCATACCGTGCAAACCGCCAGTTCCGGCGACCATTTTACCTCTTGGCCAAGTGCAGACGCCGCCCGTTTCTATAAAAAGAAGAAAATATAGATATATATTAGATGGTACTCACAAACACACACACGCACGCACACGCACACGCACGCACAATTTTTTCCAAGAAGGCAATCCAAGAAATAAATAAAATTTAATGTTGTACGTAAAAGTTTTAATTTTTATCTAAGCAAATATTTTGTATAAAACTGTTTAAAGCGCGTCAACTAACCTACATGGGAAACAGTTTTATACTGTTAAAGCGCGTCATCTAACTTACGTAAAGGTTTCCTACGCGCTTTAAACAGTTTTATACTGTTAAAGCGCGTCATCTAACCTACGTAGAGATTACGGATGCCCTTTATTTACTTGATAATTTTAAAACGGGTCATCTAACCTACGTAGAGATTAATGACGCACTTTAAACAGTTTTATACTTTTACGGCGCACCATCTAACTCAAGTAGAGCGTAGTGACGCGCGGTAAACACTAGAATATTTTTAAAGCGCGACATCTAACCCATGTAACCTTGTTTACGTGCGATTATCGGCGGTACGATAGGGCCCGTGGTCGATCAGATACTAGATAGTACTCGCACGCACGCACGCACGCACGCACACACAGTTTTTTCGGAAAAATGATTAAAACACATTTATTTATTTATTTAACTCGACGTTAACATATACAACTGTATAGTTACAAATCGCGTTGGCTAGTGTGAGTCTGAGGCGCGGTTGTGTGCGCGACAAATCAAATTTTACAATACAAATAATTCAAATTTGGTTGCAAATCCCAAAATCGGTTTTGATTTCTACTACTGACAATCCTCTTTACGTAGTGGCCTTTAGCAGACTTTTCAGACAAAAGCCGATGTACATTGTCACAGCGACAGTATACGAGAGGACCATCAGCTCTCTACCAAGATTTAAATTATCGATTTAACGATTCTGATTTTGATTCAAGACTTTTAGAGAATAGATGACATTTTATATATACCTAAACAGGCGGTAGGGTGCGCGAACGTTGGTTCCGTCTTGAAGTTCCAATCGAGAGACGTATTTATGGCCGTGAACGCAAATCCTGGTATAGCTGTCATACTAGGTTCTTCCGGGCCAGCTTCGATGAGCAAAACCTTTCGCCGTGGATCGTCGCTCAATCTTCTCGCGATTATTGGCCCGGCCACACCTGCGCCGACAATTATAAAGTCGAACCTGAAGAGACATTTTGACGATAAAATATGGGTGATTTTTCATAATATTAGAAGAATAGAATTTGCACTATACATGGACTTGAGACAAATCTCTTGTTATATATACCATTCGTTTTCGTTCGGTGCTTCGTCTCTGCCCAGTCGTCGACAAGGATCAGCAATGTCGCATCTGGAGGACATCGCGTGTTGAACCAACGTCATAAAACTACCGACACCACAGACTCGACTCATGTATCGCGTATCCTCGAACCGGCAGGAGCAACATTCGGTGGCCGCATAGTCGCTGGGTGCTTGACGTGACTATAGAGACGGACGTTCGCTTTAAATGGGTACAAAGCAAAAGATACTGTTGTTTTGAGATAGAGAACCGCGTTTACAACCGTTTTAACCAGCCATATTTCTAGCCATCTTAAATCTTATAAACACTGTCTTGAATATTTTGTGCGTGCTTTTTTTCCAATACAAAATAGATACGTATACCAAAGCAAATGCTAAACACGTCATTGTGAAATTCGTGATAAAGGGAAAGAATATGTATACAAGTACCTTTAAGGAATTAAAGTTATTATAGTTATTTAGTATGCGTTAATACCCATTCTCACGTGTGTAAGGAAGATGTTTTCAAGCAGATTTTTAATGCATTTGTACAGATTACAGTAATCTTACAAAGAAGTAGTCGGAAGTGCCCTCCTCTGATTTTAATGAGCTTTGAGTATGCTGTATCTTTTATACTTGGTTTCAGAGATATTCGGCCCGAAAGAGAAAAATCTATTTTCTTCAAAGGGGTTTCATGGGTTTTATCCCCTAAACACGCGTATGGGCACGTATAAAACAATACGTGCCTCTTATTTTCGTCCTCCAGAGAACAATATACTAAAAGCTCATCAAAATCGGAGGGGACTTGAGAGTCTAAAATCATCCTACTCTTGTATTTCTATAATATTTCTATAATATAATTACGCCGTCTGAATCATTGCGAGATTTTTTGTCGAGGTCGTTACTCACAGCTACTCTAAATTCACGGTAGCGTTTTTCCTAGTCGATACGCAATATTCCCTCGAGTCGCGGAAAAAAATGCATATTATATGAGACGCAAACGCGTTTAACTCTTATTCGAACGATATATACGCGATATAATATACCGTTGCCCTTGATTCACGTTTCACCTAAAAATTTCCCAAAAATGTTTGTTTGAGCATTATCCATATGAACATAATAGTATACAACTCGTATGTCGTATTATAACATGATGAAATTTTAAAATTTGTGCGTGAGAATTTGATTCTTTTTATTTTACGCGTACTTTTCTCTTCTTATGCGCTGCAACCCAGTGGCTTACGCGTGCCTCGTAGCTCGTAGGGGTACGATGCAACAAAATTAGAAGCGCTGAAGCGTGTCAGGTTTAAAACCACGCAGATTATCCGATTGTTTAAAGTGTGATATTTATACACGTGTGCCAGCTTATTAGAGAGATTGGATGGACAGTTTATAAAAAAAAAAGAAAAAAAAACATAATGTTTTCAAGAAAAATCTTTGTCTTCTCCTGAAATTGATATATTATATTACGACAAGTTGAAAAATGTTTGATATTGTAAAAGAATATTATTTTACCTGATGTGCCTTGACTGGAGTAGTGATAATATAATGCGCCAAGGCTAACCAAATCAAGTACCACCGCATGTCTGCAATTTAAAGACCAATATCGTCTGTGTAAAAATGACAAGTGTAGAGAGAAGGAGTATGAAAGTTAATGTTAAAATATTATAAAATTGCGACTGGTATTGAGTAAATTGCAAGAAGATGAATGATAACGTTTGTATAGTGTAATATAATTTAGTTTTCAAATATTTTATACCGTTTAATAATAAATAATGTCACATTATATATAGATATCTACGCGCGCGCCTGTGCGTGGTTGCGTTTCGCGCGTATATTATATATATATAAATATATATAATTTTAGTAACGATGCTCTACGATAATGATCGAACGTTGACTCCTGTGTCCGACTTGTGTCTTTTGAAGAGATATGCCTAGTAGTATAAAATGCATTTGATCAACGTAAATTTCTACGATTATTACGAGATATATATAATATATAATAATATATATATAATATAATATATAATAATATATAATAATATATATATAATAATATATAATAATATATATATAATATAATATATATATATATATATATATATATATATA